GCCGAGTTGGTGGAGGGCAGTGTGTAATTGGGATGGTTGTAACGGCAAGAGAACTCAGTACAGGCAACAAGCAGTTGTGAGGTGCTGAAGAGGTGGAGAAAATAGTTGCAGTGAGAGCTGTAGGGATTTTGAGGGTAGGCTGCAGAGGAATGGGAATCGTGGCAGAATATGATTGTTATGGAGCCAAGTTTGTATCAAAAGTGTCTGAAGGCTGTGGTAGTCAGCTATGGCGATTCGTTCTGTTTGGGGGTCAGTTTGCTTGTAAGGGGGCAGATTGCCTGCCTTGGTTAGATATGGGACCAAGTGCAATTTCTGGTGGATGCTGGCTATCATAGGAAGTTGGAAACAGGCAGGGTTAAATAGGAATGATCTGCACTGCAGAGAGCAGGGGGAGTGGAAGGTAGGATTCTGGTATAAGAGGACTAAGGTCCTGATCAAAAGAGCTATATGGATGCTAGATTTGCTGTGGGTGCTGTGAGACTGGAAGGCTGGTGCCGTTTTAGGGTAGGGTCATGTGGGATCACACAGACCGGGCCACAAAAATCTGTGTGGTGGATGCTAGCAGGGGTTGTAGCTCCATTGTAAAGCACCTTCATTGCATGTACAAGGCCTCAGAAGTTTGCTTACAGGTAATTGGCCAGGAGGCCTGCAAAAGACCTTGGACAGCTGCTGTTCATCTGAGTGCATGCGTACAGTGCCAAATAGACTAGCAGGATACCGAGGCAGCTCCTTGGGGATATGGGATGCATTAGCAAAGTTTGGTGACTTTGTGGTGGCGGGGGAAAGAGGAACTGAGTGTGGATGGCAGCATTAGAGAATAAAGAATCATTGTGGTGTCAGGTGTCCTAAAGTTGACTTTGACTACATTGGGATGTTAGGAGGTTGGTCAGCTGTTTGCATTTGCAGTCATATGATTCAAGAGCTCTGGTAGGTCAGGACAGCACCATGCTAAAGCCTCTAAAGAAATAAGAGAGGGTTGTAGATTCCTTTCTTTTGTGGAGCTTTAGCAGCATCTCTGGTGTTGACACCCAGTGGTGGGGATAATCACTTTGAGAACCTGGGCCGTGAGTTACAGAAGGACTATAAATAGCAATTCAGTCTACAGGACACGGATGAGGGTGGGTGGAGTTAACCATTTGTGATATAAAAGGGGGAATGAGTAAGTCTCAAGAACTTAGGAGCCTGGATGGATCAGACCAAGACCCAATCTAGTCTAGCATTCTGTTTTCACAGAACTATGCACTGTGTGAAGTACTTCATGTTGTATATCCTGAATCTTGATAACCAGCTTAATTGCAAAGCCCTGAGTTCTAGTATTATCAGACAACATGTTTAATGTGATGCACGCAAAAAGAATTCAAATAATGCTTTTGGTAGTGTTAGGAGTGGGGTATAGTGCTGTAAGAGTTGAGGACATTACCCTTGAGATCTCGGGGCCTGTTTACTAGAACTCTGTAAAGAGCTGCATATATATGTTTGTGTCTTTAAAATGGAACTTGGATGCGACCGAATATGTTGGAGAGTGTGTGTGTGTTTGAACTGTGCAAAACAAAAAGCCTGAACTCCTCAGTGCATCAAGATAGCTTGTTACGTTTGGGGGAGGGAAGAAGGATGCTTTTCTCTGCCCCTCTCTGTTGTTTTGAGGGTGGACTTGGCCAGGAAGCAGAGTTTATGTTAAAGGCCATTCTAGTTTCCACTCTGTTTATATTGCATGCAAGTTTATGCATTGTGCACTGTGTTTCAATTTCACAAGGGGATTTTATCTCCATTCCATGGGTTAAGGCAGCCATGCTTGATGAATTTATTTTTCGTGCTGTTTGGATAAAATTCAAACATGTTCAGCTTTTTGGTTTTAAAAAAAAGAATACTGGATTCTCCATTTGTTTAAAAGTACTAAGTCTTGGCTAACTGGGCATAAAAGCTTGCCTCTTCGTGTTTTTCTAGGATTGGGGCATTCTTGTTGCTGGGGGAATATTTTCAGGGTTGGGATTGCCAGAAGAGGGGGAGGTGAGATTTCTGTTGCCTAGTGGATAAGATGGGGAAGATTGCGTTTGCTTGAGGGGAGGTCTGTTTCCCTGTTTTTGTTCTTTTTTTTTCTTTCAGAAGAGTTGTGTTTTTTCTCTATATAATGATCTGGCTCAACATGATGCTAAAAGCAAAAAGGGTTAAAAGGTTTGAGCCTGTGTATTTTAAAAAATGTTTGTGAATTTCTGTGGTGATGCCTATAACGAGTCAGTCCAACCCCTGTCATCCCGCTAAGCGGCAGCTTGAAAAAAACATGACCTCAACATGATGTATTGTTACGACACAAAGGTATATTTGACTGCTATATTCAGAAAACATTAAGGATGTTGGACTCTCGACTGAGATAATTGCATTTAAAGGTTGATGTTACGTGGAGTCAACCAATGTGAACTTTAGTTGCATCAGTCACTGTTCTACAAATCTAATTAATAATAATAATTAATAATAATAGTAATGATAGTATGATAATAGTAATGATAATATGTCTCTGAATACTAGTTGCTGGGAATCGCAGCTGGGAGATATGTTAAACCCACATCCAGCTTGCAGGCTTCCCAGAGGCATCTTGTCAGCTATCCTGAGAACAAGATGCTGAAGTAGATGGACCAATGGCCAGGTTCAGCAGATTCATCCTGTGTTCTGGTGTTCTTCTTAAACATCCTGAGTTTTGGAGTGCTTTGCCTCTTTCCCCTCAGTATTTGCACTCTTGCTCCAAGCACTACAGAGCTGAATCTCTTGTTGCAAGTGGGTCCGTGCTTGGATGTTTAGAGAGAAGTGAACATATTGCTCGCAGTACCAGGAAGCAGTGAGAGGCTGTGGGTATGAAAGTTTAAATTCGATACAGTGTTTGGAACAGAGAGAAATAAGGACTCATGTAATTCACATTATCTGCATTTTAAGAATAATTTTGAGAATCGTTTCAGTAAGCTTTTTTGCACCTTGGAATTCTGAGCGCCCTCTCTCTCCTTATTTGTTTTTTTGCCAACTTCATATGTGACCTGACTGCAAGGTGACATCTCAGTAGCTCAAGGCTTGAGACTCGTGAGTTCTCTTGATTGTTTGACTGTTTAGCAATCTGAAAACTTTGCTTGCGATACCATCCAAAGGCAAAGTTTTTTGCATTGTGCCAGCTTGAGGTATTCAAAATAGGATATGCAAATGACTTTACTTTGGCAAATGGTATGAATTTAAAAACTCGCCGATGTTAGTTGCTACAGTTGTCAAATTATAAAATGAGAATATTGTGGATTAGGGATCCATAAATTTTAGGCTGGCTCACTAGTTGGCCGTTATTTGCCTTTGCTTCTAACTTGTTCTCAAGCTCCATAGTACATCCTGGGGTAGCTTGGCTGAGTGGGAGAAAAGATGCGGAAAAAGAAAGAGGGGTGTTTTCTGTAATACTGGATTTGGGTAAAATTGTGAGAAACATGTGCCTTTCTGCCTTCTTCAGAGCTCACTGCAATAGAGAAGTGACTCCTACTCTTCCTTAGTGGTGGTGAGGTGCTTTCCGTGCTAACATTTGGTCTGCTTGCTTCAAATCATCATGACATGAGACCTGCTCCTCAAGTTTACTGCAGTTCAGAGAAAATTCAGAGGAGGGGTATGTTTGCTACATGGTGCCTTCCAGGAGTGTAGACCATATAAACAGATTGGTGGAGGGCATGTTGCCTATTCTACAGAGTTTGGAACTGCAGTGTTTAGAAGTAAGCAAAAACATGTCGCTGTTCATGGAGCTTGTAATATGAAATAACATGTTCCAGAATCTAGCATCTTGAGAACCAACTTTACAAGACTAAAACAGATTTTAAATCACACCTTTCACTATATGTCTTTTTATTTTTTAAGGTGAAAATCACTCAAGAGCTAAAACTTATCCAGGCTGAACAGATGACAAAAATTCAAGCCAAACATCAGGCAGAATGTGACTTACTTGAAGATATGAGGTAAGGCTACAACAAACACTCCCAGATTCCTTTCAGAGCTCCTTTTTGGAAGAACATTTGGGTTACAAAACTCCGGGAACTGACGATGGAATTTCCTCTTGGATTTCCTGCTTTTAGACTCTTAAAGCATTGACACAGCTGGAAATTATAACTGGAACTAACACAATGCATACTTGCTCAGTTTGAAAGAGGGGTGGTTATAAATATGTGTCATGAACAATCCAGGTCTTTCTGGGAATATTCTTCTTGTAGAAAGCTCTCTGATGCTTCCTAGCTTTACCTTACAAATGTTAGGGTGTGGTAATTCACCTAAATTGCATTTAACTAACTTTTCTTAATTCAGCCTTTATGCAACTGTCCTTTATGTTGATCAGTACAAAATTCGTTTATAACCTGATCTTAAAGAGGAATTTCTTGTTCTTAGTGTTTATGCATTTTATTGCCAAAGCAACTATGGGGAGTAATGTGTATCTGAGAAGCATCTGGAGAAATAATCAATGGCTCCATTAGAGACCATTGATTTCTAGGATGGACATGTTGAGGAATATTTAAATGTCAATAAACCTGTAGCTGCCCTTTCCCTCTCAGTACTGCAAATTCAAAAAGATTACCTAGGCTTACATATCAGCACATAGAAAAGGTGGAAGAGACAGATTAGAAAGTGTCGGCTTGATAAAGTCCTATAATCTGACAGTACTTCTGTATCACTGAAATTCTTCTAAAAAGCTCTGTAGTCTATGAAGATCAATATCTTAACTAGTTAAACTTGCTTTTTATGGGAAAGATTGCAGCATATGGTATGTAAAAATAGTGAGTATGCATTCTTGGTGAAATAAAACTTTAGTTAACCACGGTCAGGTTGATTTGAGTAGGTTGTTTATAGGGATTACACTTTATGACAGTGGCACTTGGTTGCAAGTTCAGGAACTCTTCTCTCAATACTTTCTATAGCATGACACATGTAAAGTTGTGATATCTAAAATATGTAATCATAGGGTCATCTAGTCCAGACCCTACAGTGCAGGAGTCTTTTGTCCAAGGTGGGGCTTGAGCCCACAACCTGGGATTAAGAGTCTCATACTCTACCAACTGAGCCATCCCAAGCAAATATGTCTGTTGTAATATAATATATGGTAAGTGGTTGTTTACAGTCTTCAGTCTTTATCAAACAAAAGACCTGTGTGGAGCAGTCTATAGTTTCATGAGGGATGTAGCTGCAGCCACCCCACCACTTGCAAACAAATTCCCAGGATTCCTTATTTGGGGGGGTGGGTCCTCCATGTTTTACATGGAATGGCTGTGTAGAATTTCTCATATGATAAATTGGGGTAACTTGCATTCAAAATTTCAAATATGCCCCTAAAACCTGGGTATTTGTAAATTCAGGCTTACGTTCTGAATAGTTCTTTTCTATGTTAGTTTCTGAAGCGTTGCAGTGCAAGATAAGGAGGAAGATAACAGGTGCACCTACATAGAGAACATCTGTAATAGAGAATTCTTTACCAGTGCTGATCTGCAAAGTGTTTCAGTTTTAGTTTATGAAAAGGATCTGCAGCTGGCCTGCCGTTGTTGTGGTTGGAGTTTGATCTCTTCACTATAGCAATCAAAGGTTCAAGGTTCTTCGGAAATAACAAGACCGTACAGCATAGGATCTGGCCCTTTTCCAGTTTTGCTTGCTTCAAGAGGCTGGTTGAAGAAATCCATCCAGCATATGAGTGCTGGGGAACCTCTGACCTGCTGGATGCAGCAGCAGCTAATATTCTTCCAATACTTGTCAACCATTCTTGCTCTCTTCATGTGTTATAACTAGTACGCATCTCTTCCCCAAGACTGAGGGACAATCACAGTCAGTCAAACTTGCACAGTCTCATACAAATCCAGTTGTGAAACTTCTGTAGGGAAACAAGTATCCTGCCTAATAACTGCTAGATCTTACAACAGTTCATGCATTAAAATAAGACAGGCAGACACTAACCAAATGGTTCATCTGCTTTAGACTGTAGCTACCTTTTTAAAAACAACAGCAGCAGCAACAACAACAACAACAGAGACCTGGGCAACAGCAAACCTTGTCTTTCTGGTGGGTAGAATCAGATGCCCCCTGAAATCCAGATGGGGTGGTTTAGTTATATTTCAAAGTTCTCTTAAGAATCACTAAACTTTAGAGTGTACTGTTAATTAAGTGCCAGCACGCTGTCCTCTTTTCCCCCCTCATCTAACTTGTTAAATATGAGCTGAAAAATCTGTTGTCTGCTGACAGCCAATTTTAAGATTCTGTGCTGTTGCTGTTGAAAGATATTTGTAAATGCCTGAAACATAAGTGATCTGATTTTTCCAACTGTGCTTCAGTTGTCGTGTGTTCCCATTCTGGCTGTGATAATGTCCATTCCTGATCATAAAGTTTTTGGACTGCTTTTAAAAATTATTTTGTAATTTTGGTGTCAAATATGCACTGCTAATTATTGCAGAATAATTGGCACTTCTACACTTAAATGTAACTAGCAATTCAGAGTCAGCACTGATTATTCAAAGCAAGTAGAATTAAGGGGTTCTCTTAGCAGAACAGAGGTACATGGACAAAAGCGCATATCTGAGTTAACATACAAAGGACTGTTCCCTTCTGCATGTGGTTGTTTTGTTTCTACAGTAAGTCTATTGCTCTTGTTATTATTGGGTTAATAATTAGGGGTCATATTATACACAGATGGTGAATGCATAAGGGTTGAGGTTCATTCTTGGGCTCTGGTCTTTGCGGCCTGGGTTCGTGTTTGGGCTCTGGTGTGGGCAGCCTGGGTGACCTGAGTTCAGGCTCTGGCTCTGCCCCAATTTCTTAATTTGGGGTTCAAAAAAATAGGGATTGTTGGTATTATTCATGGGGGCATCTTATACATGGAAAAATACGGTACCTAAAAATTCAAATTCAAATAACTCCTAATGAATGGATTTCTGCACCTATTGAGCAATGGAGGGTGATAATTTATGTTCTTCAGCAACTGAGACAGCAATAGAGGTGACAGAATGTTGCAGCGTGGATAGTATCTGTTCAGGGTTCCTGCCATTCCATCCCCCCTCCACCCAGTATTCTGACAAACACCCCCCCTCCCCCCGGTTATTCAATAGGCTTTGGCTGTTAAGCTGGAGTGGGGGCTTTTGCAAATTTTGAGGTTCCATTTGTGTGTGTGTGTGGTGACATTTTTGACTACATAAGAAGTGGCACTTGGGAGAATTGGGATCTCTGTTATCATAGATGATGTGCAACTGAACTTGATAAATGAGCTGTGTTCTTAAAACTGCTATACAAGTTACTAATTCGTGCTTTAGCAAATGTGATTAGTAAGACTGAGAACATTCTACAAATGTGCACCTTTTTTTTTTTACTCCTGCAATTTGTATTGGGAAATGGGGGTCCCTCCAGAGGTTACAGATCTTTTTCTGAACTAGCTTCTTTTGCAGTTGCCTTCTATAATGTAAATACACAAGGAAAATGTTTTGTTTTAAACATGAATCTTAATTTACTGTGCACTGTAGTTTGCAGGAATTTTTAGTAACTAGCGACATGGCATATTGCTGTGGAATAGATGACTTCTTTTGACTCTTACCGTGCTGTCCCAGATTTGACTTGGTGTTCAGAACTGTGTTTGTAAAAGAGTGATGTTTATTTTTAACCACCTTGCTTGTACAAAAAGTGAAAGTAATCTGATGCTGGAACTTGATGTGATACAAGCATGGAGGTGTGGATTTGGCATGGTGGCTCATCTTCACAGAGGGACAGAAGGTTGCTTGTCTCAGGAGTATGTGTCATGGCTTGTTTAAAGATGAGCCATCACTCTCTATTATGCACCAAAGCTTGCATTTCATAATGTGCTCCAAAATGAATTCAGTTCTTTTTAGTATTTCTCAGTGGCCACTTTGCTGTAAACCACACCCAAATTAAAAACATAAAAAGCCCACTGCTCACAGAGTAAAATATTAAGTCCCCAGCAGCTTCAGATCACAGTTAAAATGTATAAAATTTAGAATGGGTTACCCATGCCATCCACCAGAAGAAAATGTCTACTAAAACTGCCATGTCTTCAACTGCCAGTGAAGGAGCCAGGCAGACCTTTCTCAAAATGCATCCTAAAAAGTGGGGGCTGTTTGGGAGAAGACCCGGCCTGAGCTTACCTGCTTGAAGGAAAGGCTGGAAAGTGAGGCCTTCCAGGTTTAAATAAGGAGGTGCATTCATAGAATCATAGAGTTGGAAGAGACCACAAGGGCCATCGAGTCCAACCCCCTGCCAAGCAGGAAACACCATCAGAGCACTCCTGACATATGGTTGTCAAGCCTCTGCTTAAAGACCTCCAAAGAAGGAGACTCCACCACACTCCCTGGCAGCAAATTCCACTGTCGAACAGCTCTTACTGTCAGGAAGTTCTTCCTAATGTTTAGGTGCAATCTTCTTTCTTGTAGTTTGGATCCATTGCTCCGTGTCCGCTTCTCTGGAGCAGCAGAAAACAACCTTTCTCCCTCCTCTATGTGACATCCTTTTATATCTTTTAACATGGCTATCATATCACCCCTTAACCTCCTCTTCTCCAGGCTAAACATGCGCAGCTCCCTTAGCCGTTCCTCATAAGGCATCGTTTCCAGGCCTTTGACCATTTTGGTTGCCCTCCTCTGGACACGTTCCAGTTTGTCAGTGTCCTTCTTGAACTGTGGTGCCCAGAACTGGACACAGTACTCCAGGTGAGGTCTGACCAGAGCAGAATACAGTGGCACTATTACTTCCCTTGATCTAGATGCTATACTCCATTCAACAGGTGGTATTCCTTTAGGATACACAGGCCCCGGAGCTTAGTCCTAGCGTTTGCTCTCTTTGCAGGGCTTGGGCCTTTAATAATTCACTACAGTACAGTCGCATCTTAAGCACTTTTAACTTGGGTGATTTCAACCATATGTGGTTGGAGGCTGGTGACTGAAAATCCCACAAGTTAAATGCAAGCAAGGCAGAGAGCTTAAAAGCTTTTTGTGCTGGTAAAACCTGCAGAAAGAGCTTTTTAGCTCTCTGCCTTCCTTTGAGGGACAGGGAGGGCAAGGCGTTCTCGGCGCGCTGCCTGCAGCGGCCCCAGGATGCTCACTGGGGAGTTTTTTCCCCCAAGGGTTTAGATATACATTATATAATTTTATTTGTATGCTGCTTTTCCATGGTTCAAACCATGCTCAAGGCGGCTTACAACATGAAGAAACACGTAATTACAACATAAAGAAACTATCCAAAAATACACAACCAAATTGAACAATTTCCACATAAATCATAATATCTAAAAAACAAAGAAACATCAGTAACAGCAACAAACTCCCCTAAGCAATACCTGAGCCCAAGAGTCTGTTTATCGGCCTATGTTTTGTAGCTGGAGTCAGTCTGGGTTCTGCCCTCCTAGTCCTTCCAGGACTCATAGCTATATGCATTTTTGCATGTAAGTGCAACCCTTGGGACCAAACACGTGCATAAGATACTGTACAGTATTCTGTCCTTGAACACGGAGATAAAACTAGTGGTGTAGGCTACAGCCACACAATTAAGAACTTGCCCAGCGTTCTGTTTCCAGCAGAGGCAAGCCAGAGGCTTCTGTAAGTTCATCAGATTGTATGAAACTGATAACTGTCTCCAGCATCTGGCAATCATAAATTAAGCATGTTACCTTCAGAACATTAGGGTTCTTTTCAGCTATCCTGGCCAGAGCTATTGATAAAAAGACACATCTTCCATTGATTTCTCTATTTCTTTTCAAAACAAACTGGCTGACTTAATGCCAACCACCGAAATCCACCCACCACTTCCTGAACCTCTCCCGGCTTTACCGTGTCTTCAGAGGAAGGGAGTTGGTAAACGCAAAATAGCCACATGAAAGACAGAACACACCCACTGCAAATAAGATTCACTTCTGTACTGATTCTTTATGAGGCATTGCCTGAACAGAGGTGTTATTATTGAAGCTTTCTCACTGATAATGTGCTTTTTTTGCCCACTGACTTACTGTCTTATCTTTTTCACTCTGTGAATTGCGCTAGTGGGTTTTTCTGGGTTGCATGTATGTGTTTTGCCAGTGCTGGAATTGAATAATA